GTTAAACAAGCATCTGGTGTGGTCCAATTAGACTCGCACACAGGTGACCTCCAACACAGATCCTATTCTGTTAGAGGAAATGCATATACTGTATTTACTGAACCAACTCTGCATCATTAACCAAATCCTGTTTGTTTTTTTTTCCAGAAGATCATCAGACTTTCTTTTATTTGCAATGTTTTCATATTTGTCTTCCTATAGTCTAACTAGAAATATGGAGAAAACATAATGCCTTAATAGAAATTAAAAACAATAAATCAATAAAAAAAAAAGGTCCCCCTTCAAACTCATTTTTTGGGTTGGTTCATTTGCCCACGTGAAAGGGGTTTCCAGGAATGATAGAATATCTTCTACAGCTTTGGTCACTCAAAAGTATTATAATTAGGGCTGTCAAAATGAAAACACTCACCACGTTAATTATTTTTCTGAAGATTAAGTTGATTAATAAAATGTAATGCACTTGAATGAATCAGCAGAATGAGGTAAACTGTATATTCAATAATTTCACCGTCGCTACACATATCTTTGCTAATACACAGTCAATTGATGTTATTATTAGTAAAACACCTCTCCTTGAATCGCAACCTTAACGTGGTGGAGGGGTTTGAGTATTCGAATGAACCTAGGAGCTATGTTGTCGGGGGCTTAACGCCCCTGGTAGGGTCTCCCAAGGCAAACAGGTCCTAGGCGACGGATCAGACAAATAGCGGTTCAACCCCCCCCCCTTGATGAAGAAAAAGACAGCAAAGAGGTTCACGTCGCCCGGATTGGCGTCACCGGGGCCCCACTCTGGAGCCAGGCCCGGGGTTGGGGCTCGCAGGCGAGCGCCTGGTGGCCGGGTCCTTGCTCACGGGACTCGGCCGGGCTCAGCCCGAACAAGCGACGTGAGTCCGCTTTCCAGTGGGCCCACCACCCGCAGGAAGGCCCACAAGGGGCCGGTGCCTTGTGATTTGGGTGGCGGTTGTGGGCGGAGACCACGACGGCCCAATCCCTGGACAACCACTCTAGCTATGGGGACATGGAATGTCACCTCGCTGGGGGGAAAGGAGCCTGAGCTCGTGCAGGAGGTTGAGAGATACCGACTAGATATAGTCGGGCTCACCTCCACACACAGCTTGGACTCTGGGACCCAACTCCTTGAGAGAGGCTGGACCCTTTTCTACTCTGGAGTTGCCCGCGGTGAGAGACGGCGTGCTGGCGTAGGCTTACTTATAGCCCCCCAGCTTGCCAGTCGTGTGTTGGAGTTCTCCCCACTGAGTGAGAGGGTCGCTTCCCTGCGCCTTCGGGTCAGGGACAGGTGCCTCACTGTAGTTTCGGCCTACGGGCCGAACAGCAGTGCAGAATACCCGGCCTTCTTGCTGACACTGAGAGGAGTACTGGACAGTGCTCCTCCCGGGGATTCCATCGTCCTGTTGGGGGACTTCAACGCCCACGTGGGCAACGACAGTGACACCTGGAGGGGCGTGATTGGGAAGAACGGCCTCCCCGATCTAAATCCGAGTGGTGTTTTGTTATTGGACTTCTGTGCTAGTCACAGTTTGTCCATAACAAACACCATGTTCAAGCATAAAGGTGTCCACCAGTGCACTTGGCACCAGGACACCCTAGGCCGGAGGTCAATGATCGACTTTGTAGTCGTGTCATCTGACATCCGGCCGTATGTATTGGACACTCGGGTGAAGAGAGGGGCTGAGCTCTCAACTGATCACCACCTGGTGGTGAGTTGGCTCCGCTTACGAGGGGCAAAGCTGGATAGACCTGGCAGACCCAAACGTATCGTGAGGGTCTGTTGGGAACGTCTGGCAGAATCCCCGGTGAGGGGGGCCTTCAACTCCCACCTCCGGGAGAGTTTTGAACAGGTCCCGAGGGAGGCTGGAGACATTGAGTCTGAGTGGACTATGTTCTCCACTTCCATTGTTGATGCGGCTGTCCGAAGCTGCGGACGTAAGGTCTCCGGTGCCTGTCGTGGCGGCAATCCCCGAACCCGGTGGTGGACACCGGAAGTAAGGGAAGTAGTCAACCTCAAGAAGGAGTCCTATCGAGCCTGGTTGGTTCGTAGGACTCCTGAAGCAGCCGAAAAGTACAGGCAGGCCAAGCGGACTGCAGCTCGGGCAGTCGCGGAAGCAAAAACTCGAGTCGGGGAAAAGTTCGGGGAGGCCATGGAGGAGGACTATCGGTCGGCCTCGAAGAAATTCTGGCAAACCATCCGGCGCCTCAGGAAAGGGAAGCAGTTTCCCACCAC